GATTGTGTCGAAATAATCAAGGAGCAAATGATGAAATGCGTGACCTCATTATAGATGATTGTAGTATTTACAGTCTGTTTAGTGAACGAGAAACCAGTCGAATTTGATAAGGTGGTTGATTTTATGTCTTTTGCTCAACAAACGATATCGCGTGACAATAGGATTATTCACTACAAAAAAACAACGAAATGGTGATGCAAATTTTGTGTCACCAATGGACGTTTTTGTGTCACCCTTTGGAAAGGGTGACGTAAAAGTGACGAAAAAAAAGCGTCACCAATCGCACCGTCACCATTTGCGATTTCTTCACAAAGCGTCACCATTTGGTGACGCACTGGTGACAAATGCATTTCGTCACCATTTGGTGACGCCCGATGTTAGATGCATAACCATCCGAGAATTGAACATCTTCTTTCAACCACTTCAGTAGTACGATATTAGCACTTAATTTTGGAGAGTCTAAATATCGGAATTGCGGCTTTTCCATCATTGCTCAACTCTAACTCTTTCGGTTGCATATTTCTTTGATGTCCATCCTTGATTTTAGGTTATTCTTCGACTTGCCTTTGACATTCATGATCGTGTTGATCACGTTATCAAAGAAATTCTTTTCAATATGCATAACATCCAGATTATGTCGAAGCTTGTGAGTCCTACAATAAGGCAAATCCCAGAATATGGGTCTTTTGTACCAATTATATGTCTCTCCGTATTTACATGGTTTGGATGACCATTTCCACCACAATCAATGGTTTTATCCAAACCATGAATGTTTTCAATCCGCTCCCACAATATCCCTTCACCCGTCAAAAGAAGAGGAGGTGGATCTGTCACAATCTTATTCTTACTGAAATTTATTTTGTTCCGTCTCCATGGATGATCTAGCGATAAAAACCTGCGATGACAGTCAAACCGACATGATTTCCTTCCATGTTTCAGCTGAAATGATTGTATATCGTCCATGCAATATGGGCATGCCAATCTTCCATGAGTACTTCATCCCGATAACATTCCATAAGCTAGAAAATCGTTTATGGTCCACATCAAAAGAGCTTTAACTTGAAATTCTCTCTCCATGAGACATCGTATGCATCAGTACAATGCCAGAACTAAAGTAATTCTTCGATCAAAGGCTAAAGAAAAATGTCAAAACTTTTCTTCAGATGCTCCGGGCCCAGAATCAAAATCATCAAGGATAAGAACTCTTTTTTCAGACACATATCTGGAGGTAAGTTATAAGGAGTCATAACAATAGGCCACAACGAATATTGTTTGTCCGATTGACCATACAGTGCAAACCCATCTGTGCATAAACATAGATAAACATTTCTATGTTCTGATGTAAAGTTCGGATATACCTCGTTAAAATTCTTCCATGCATCACCGTCAGACGGATGACTCATATTCTCGGTATCTAATGTATGTTCAGCATGTCACTGCATATGTGAAGATGTTTGATGAGATTCATACAATCTTCGCATCCAATCTTTAATTGGTAGATAAAACATCCTTTTGTAAGGAACACGGTTGCGTTGACCAGATTTTTTCGGCTTATATCTTTTAGCTCCACAAAATCGACAGTCGTCCAACTGGTTAGCTTCTTTCCAAAATATCATACAGTTATTAGGACATACATCGATTTTTATCGATTCCATTCCCAACGATCCCATTAATTTAGACATGTCATAATACGAATCTGGAACGTTATTACCTTGGGAAGATAATCATTCAACATTTGACAAACTTCATCCATGCAGTTCTCTGTGTGATTATAACTCGTCTTCATCCCCATCAATCTAGCAGAAACTGATAGTTGAGAAAGTCCTTCTTTACAACCATCATAAATAGGTTGTTCGCAGCATCCAATAGATCGAAAAACTTTTTCGATGCCTCATTCACCGGATCTTCTGTAACCTGATCATTATATTGAGATGGAAATGCATCTTGAACCATCTCAATATATGAATTTGGTTGATCATAGACATCAATATTTCTCACGGATATATTCTCATCAAAAATTTGGAACGTCTCATCATGATAAACTCAAACGTAATAGTTAGAGACAAAACCTTTTTTCCATAGATGCCTCATAACAACTTCTGAAACTTTTTCTCTCTCGTTTTTACATCTTCGACACGAACAATAAAACTTTTTTCTCTAAATGAAAATATATTGATTTGTTGCAAATTCTAAAAAAATAGTCAATCCTTCTTCGTAATGCGTAGATACATTACCCGTAGAAGGATCAACTCTTTCGTACATCCATTTTCTTGAGTAATAAATACTATTATTACTCGAAGTCATTTTTTGAAATTTTTTTTCAGGTGCAAGAGTCTATGATGTGGATTTGTGGGTATAAAGAAAATAAAGTGACGCAATTTCATCACTAAAATAACAATTAGTGACGAAATTGCATCACCAAATAAAATATTAGTGATGCTTTTTCGTCACTATAATATTCAAATAATGACGCAATTCCGTCACCAAATATATAGTGACGAAATTTCGTCATTGAATAGGAATGACGAAACTGCGTCACCAAAAAGATGACGCAAGAGTGACGCAAGGGTGACGAAATTTTTGCGATTCATTTGGCGACACAGTTTTGCGTCATAACTGCATCACCATTTGGTGACGATACCATTTTCGTCACTAAATAGTGACATTTTGGTGATGATTTTGTTGCATCACTTTCTGCGTCACAAAATCGTCACTCAAAAGGGTGACACAACTTTTGCGTCACTTTTTGCGTCACCATTCTCGTGTTTTCTTGTAGTGATTGCTTGAGCTATTATTGGTTTTGGTTAGATCATATCTAACTCTATTCGTCACAAATAATCATAACGCCTTGTTATAGATCAATTATGATTTGTGAACTGAAACTGAATTTCAGGTTTACATCCGTGTCGGATGAGTCTACAGGGTCATAAATATAAGAGATGGACGAATGCATGTGTTAAATTGAATTGGTTGAGAAATCGAAAATTTTTCTACAGAGTGGGACAGGTCGATTTGGAATTGGACTGGACCGATTTAGAATTTTGGGGGAGGCTGAGTTTGACTTGGATCTCGCAAAGTTGAATCTAGACTGATCCAATTTGGCCTTAGACCAGACCGATTTAGTTTGAGAAAAATTGATTTTTGCACAGAAAAGTATACCGAACCATTTGAGATTCTAATGAAATTAGGATTCCTATTCTAACTAGAAATCTTTATAGGATTAGGAATCCTATTTCATGTAGGAAATCTAATGAGAATAGAAGTCTTAATCGGATTAGAAATTCTAATAACTGTTTTCTAATATAATTAGGATTTCGGAAAATTTTATAAAAGCAAAATGTGTCCTAGGGTTTAGACAAGTCTAAGAACGTCTTAGCACACCTAATAACAATCTTAGTTCAAATCTAAGAGTTTTGGAAATAATCATGAACATCTTAGATCGTGTTGAGCAATTGAATCCTTGAGATTCCAAGTTAGTATCTCTTCTTAAGCACTACAACATGCATGTTCGGTTTCTAGGATTGTTTAAATATTATTATCTCTTCCGCTGCATGAACCCTACAACCTAGATCCCTGTATGATTATGAATCGCATGTTCGAGATCCCAAAAAATGCAAAAGTGATATCAGAGCATGGTTTCTTTGCATGTTTTAGAACTCGATCATGCACATTAAGGTCTAAATCATTTAAATCCACGTTTGCTTTAATTGTTTTATGTGTGAATCATAGTATATTGATAGATCTAGTGTAGATTTCATAATATAGCGTTACATAGAGTGTTAGGACATAAGTTGAAGTCGATTCGAGAATATTTGAGAAAAAAATACTTTATCAGAAACTTGGACTGGACCGGTCTAAATGTTGACCGAACCAATCTAGCCTTTGATGCTTCGATTTTCTTTTGATCTCATATCGGACCGGTCTAAGTGTAGATCGGACCGGTCCAACCTTTGAACTTCGATTTTGCTTAAGATTTGAAACCAAACTGATTCAAATGTAAATCGATATGACCTCGGCTTGGATCAGACCGGTCTAAGTATAGACTAAACCGATTTGAGATTCTAAAATTTTCGTGTTTTCTCAATTCGATTCGGTCTAGTAAACGTTACTTGACAGAATTGACTATGACTTATATTTGAAACATGACTCAGTTGTGTAGATGATCAATGTGGACCGAATGCATGGCACTTGATCGGGTTAACGTGTTACTTGATTGAGTAAAAATATTGGGTCAAGCAACAAGTCCGAGCAAAGTACAATTGTTGTACTTAAACCTCGAGATTTGAGCTTTTCATTAGTAAAGTATTTATCAAGACTTCGATCGTTGTGTTATAGGTCATATCGTAGCTGAGTATATTGGATTATCTGAGTGAGATATGTGCATAATCGTTTTGAGTATGTAATGATACATGAGATAGATAGAAAATAGATGGATGTATTGTTTAGGTAGCAAAGGAAAAGACATTTCTGCGTGAAAAATCTATCACTAATTATAAAGACAATAGAAAAATATCGATAAGATCTAAAACAAATCATCTAAAAAACTTAGGGTTAGAATATTTAAAATAAAAGAAGATTTGTTTTTATTTTAGTGAATATATTGGGAATATAATTAACCAAAAATATAATTTTATATATAAAAGCACATTCTTTTCTTACGGGCATGACACGTGTTCTTACTGATTTTTTAAAATTAAATTCTATAATAATTATTCAAAAATTAATATAAATTAAACATTCCCTATTTATTTGTAGATGAATGCATTTAAGCATTTTATTGTCTTCGTATGACTTATTTATATTGAACTTGGTGAAAACTTTTTCAGATTTCAGAAAACATTTAATGTGATTCTTCTCACATTCTTCAAATTTGTTAACCTATTTATTTCTCTAAATTCATAATGACGTCATTAACCGTGAGTGAATATCACGTTCTTGCTTTTACGGAAGGAATCCAGAGCCTCTGGTAAGATCGATCTACGTGCTTTCCTCATCCTCCATCTCTTTATTATTTCCATCATCTGATTTGTCTCCTCGAAATGTGTGATTCACTGTTTGGTTGTTATCTTCTTTGGTTGCAGATCTGAATTCAGAATCTGGACGTACGTACGTTTTTTCTCCATTTGAGCAATGGCTTTGGTGAGTTCTCTCTTTCATGGCTTAATCACCAATTTCAATGTTTGCTTGCTTAATTATTCGTCATTCAATCATATTTAGGTTGATATGTTGTTTGTATTCTGATAGATTTTTGCGGAGTATTCTAAAACCTGTTTTCCGATTGACCTCAAGTGTCTATTTGCAATTTTTCGATTCTAGTTTGAGATCCATTTCTTTGTGAAGAAGCTTGAGAACTAGATTTTTTGTTCTAGGTTTTACAGGTATAGCTTCAGTAGTTAGACAATACTGTCAATCGGTTTTGTTCGGGGTTTTTTCAATGTGGATCTGTTATGCTTTTTTCGTGACTATTGTCAACAAGTCAATATTTTGTTAGCTTTTATGTTTTACTGTTTATTTTATTCAGAGGTTCATATAACCAATCTTCTGATATAGGACTTACTAACAAATCTCCAGAATTCCTCCAGATGAACCCTATTGGAAAGGTATGCGATTAATTCCTGAAAAATGGTTCTTTCTTGAATTATGTTTGTGGGTGTCTGTTATTGAGTAATAGCATTGATCTTGCTAGGTCCCCGTGCTTAAGGCTCCCGAGGGTCCTGTTTTTTAGAACAATGCTATTGCTCGATATGGTATAATTATACTGTCTTCATTTTTCTTTTGGCCTTCTTTTTCATTATTTATATCTAATTAATCTACTTATGTTTATTCAGATATAATGGATATTTTATTTATTATTGCAGTAAGATTCGCTTGAAGGTTGATAATTCTTTGGTTGGATCCTCCCTTATTGAATATATAAGAACCTACGGAGTGTTTTTTTCTTTTATTTTTTTCACTTGCACATTTCCTTTTGTTTTCATCCAAAGGTTTTGTATTCTAATTATCTTCGCATATTTGGTAACTTTGCAAGTACAAATCGAGAGATGGATCGATTGTGCTTCAATGGAGATTGATGTTAACATTTTAAGATGGTTCATTCCAAGGGTGGGCTGGGTCGTGCACCTTTTCTTGCTCTGGTAAGCGTGTTTATTGCATGTATCATATGTTGTCGGTGATTCCAGTCTTTTCATAAGAGTGAAAAGAGGTTACAGATTCCGATGTTTAATTCTATCGTTCATTGATTTGCAAAACCCCGTGACCCAAACGGAAGATAAGATAAAATAATAGTTTTTTTTTTATAACGGTAATTGATTTTCAAAAACTGTTTATATACAACGGGACAATAAGTCGGAACTAACCATTAAGATACAGGATTCCATAAAAAAAGATGTAGTTTTAGCTAATTAAAACATTAAGTGTTTTGTATGCATATATATTTAAGTAGAGGAACACGATCAGAAGGAATGTGTAATACGAATCCCATAATCTCTAACTCATTGGTCGAACCCCAAATCCAATAATAAAAAACCCAACGAAAGAATCTGATATCTCATCACAGATCAAATTCAAAAGGAAAGAGCAGAAAAAACGAAGATATGCATTTACGTAATCCAGGTAAGAATTTAATAAATAGTTTTCTGAGACTTTTGTATAATTTTGTAATGTTCATTCTTTTTATTGTGTATTTTTTTAAAAAAAAATTTTGATATCATGCGAGAAGTTTCAAAACGGTTGGCTCTACTTCTAAATGTCATGCGTCCTTTGTCTATGGCTTTAAACAACAATTTTTCACAGGGTTGTCCATGGTTTTAAATAGCAATTTTTTCCAGGGATGATAATGATAGCATGGCAGAACTCGCAAAGACTCTTTCGAGGTCTATAAGACCCTTTAAAAGAGAGCAATATTTTCTTAAAAATAAGGATTTGCATATATATATATATATATATATATATATATATATATGTATGCGAGTTTTGAGAAATTTAGCTTTTGTTAATATAAATTTTGTTTACATTGATTTGATTGATGAGGAGGAAGAATTATGAGTTACAAAATCTGGTTATTAGATTTGGTGAAAATAATGCAATTTCAATTAAAAGATTCGGTGAAGATTGACATTGTTTTGTCAACTTCTGATTTTTCGACTTCAATATATGTGAGTAATTTTTCGACTTCGACTGCAAGACCCGATGTCCTTTAGATCTCAAAAGTCATGCCTCAACCCTTACAAAGCTTTTCTTAAAAAAAAACAAAGGATTCAGACAAAACCAAATACCCGAAAATCATATATTCTAGGGAAAAAACCCTAAAAATTCCTAAACTTGTATTTTGGAATAATATTAATTCCTAAACTTGTAGAAGTGCCTATTAATTCTCAAACTTGCAAAATTGAACACGTTAAATCATAAACTTGTTAAACGGTTCCATATTCGTCCATAGCGTTATTTGGTCAAAAAAACGAGTTGACCGATCCGACGTGGCTATGGAACCGTTTAACAAGTTCAGGATTTAACGTGTTCAATTTTGCAAGTTTGGGAATTAATAGGCACCTCTACAAGTTTAGGAATTAATATTACTCCAAAATACAAGTTCAAATTTTTTTAGGATTTTTGTGAATAAAATATGAGTATCTTTTAATTTCTAAATTGTTTATGAATTTTTTTAGAAAAAATTATATTAAAAAGAATATTTCTAAATTAAATATATTTTTTAATAGTTATGAATATGTAATCAAATTGTGAAAACTAAAAAAAAAGATAATAAAATAATATTGTGGAAGAAATGCACATCGAGCACATCACTATAATTTATTTATTTAAATAGATTATTCTAATGGTCCTAAATTAAGTTAAACCAATTGAATTAACAAAACATTTAATCAACGGTTCGTTCTTATCCAAAAACCTATTTATTTATTTATTTGTTTTGTTTTTATTCATACAAAGCTTTTATTTAATTATTATTTACTTTGTTTTGTTTTGGCAAATTAGTGGTTCTCA